GTGATGGAGGCGTGTAATTGCTAAAAATGAATGGCTCTCTGCTTTTTGCTTCTTACGATGTAATTATATCAGATATTAACATATAAGAGTAATAATAATAATGATAAGTAATTGTTAAACCTTCTAATTTAATAACATTCAAATGCATAGTTATTGTGATAGTGTTACGATCCAATATTTCTGAATCAGACCCCTTCAACAGGCGCTAGTTCTACAGCACATGATTATGATGGTGAGGTGTTTTTCAAGGGATGCATAATTTTGTACTGTTTTTAGACCATGCCAGGTTGAGCCATGATGATAAGCCAATTAATTAGGAGACTCTTAACCTCATTAAATCCTAATTGAAAGTTCCAACTCAGAATTTTATTTATTTACTTTAGCATTATAAAAAGAATCATAGTCATAGTAATATATTTATAATATAAATAAAAAAAATTAATGAAAAGAGAAATTGAAGTTGAAAATTTTATGTAGCAGGTCATCTTTTGCGTGGGAAGCTCATATAAGAAATCAAAGCTTAATGGGTTCCTTGTATTAACATTCAAGCTGACATTGATAGACATCTATCTGCAATCCCAATTCAATTCCCAATAGTAATCGTTTCTATCTTTTCTTTATTTCTAATTAATCAGAAATTACCATTAAACTAGCTATTAAAATCAATAGAAACTAAGCAATCTCCTCCGTTTTGCATCCTTAGCTTACCAAATTCAACCTCCTACGCTGCAAAACGAAAATTTCAAACTAACCTTCATTATTCAGGGAATAAAAAATTAAAAAAAAAAAAAAAAACTATTTTAAGGTCCATGTCAAGGCTTTGAACTATCCCGGGGGTGTTGAACATGTGGCGAATGGCCAAGTGGGTAGGTACCCATTTTAATATATGAGATTGTTCTGTGTCAATTGTCAAATGTCAACGTGATTGGCATGATACCAACCGTTGGATTATGCTTAATCCCGATATAAAATTAGGCAAATATTAGGAAATTCATGACCCAATGAGACCGACATTCACATTTATAGGGCTAAAACTGGAGATCATTGGATTGGGAACGTTGCGTTGTTGAATAAGGAAGAGAAAGGGTCTTTTAAGAGTGTATTCTCAGACTCTTCTTGGGCGACTTTAAAAAAAAAAAAAATTTCCTACTTGTCAACTTTTGTGGGTTTTCTTGAGACTTTGAGATTTGGCGATGCATTTGGCTAAGCAAGAAATACACGACAGCTTCGTTTACGTTGACACTTGAAAGAATACATTGCCATATGGCACGACTTTGTTGTGAAAGAAAACTAGAGAAAATTTTTTTGCTTTTCTTTTCCTAGCTACGTGGTCCTTACAGTTGTTGCTTGGATAATTGATCGTCCATGATTTCACCAACCCAAGCTGATCCTAGATCGAGGATGGGCTACTTCTTGAAAGTCCATTCAGCCAAGTCATGCTGAACGTTGTGCCATTTTCTAGTCTTTGTCAGCTTAGCCAAATCGGTGTCAAAACTACAAGGCAGTTTTCTCATGCCCTGTTTCTTAGATCTCCAAAAGGGACTTGGAATAGGATTTCAATTCTTTTTTTTTTTTCCCTGGTATTTTGTTTTAGTTAGATTGAACTGGTCCCCCTTTCCCCACCTATAAATCCTCTATATTAAAGGATATAACATTACAACCTCGATTGTTTGTACAAACACCAAAAGATTTCTAATGTAGTTGATAACACTTTATTTTAAATAGTGCAGTCAGTAGTGGCAACATTAGCAACAATTGATTATTTTAGTTAGCTTTTTTCTTTTTGAGTCATGTAAGATGCAACATTGTGAATCCAAGTACTTCTCTGAGACGAACATGTAAGTTCCAAGTACTGCAGCTGTTTCAAGGACTAACTGCTTTGATCTGCTGGCTTTGGGAGCTGCTAAATAATATTTTCCTGGTCCTGCTTGTCATAAATGTACTGTAGTTGCAGTGAAATGTAGTTTTGGTGTTGGTCTTGTTTTGATTTGATGTACAAATTCAACTACTGTGTTTAATTTAACTTTTATTCCTCTTTGTTCCTACATGAATTTTTTTTTTTTGAAATATTTTCCTGCATGAAATTAATTCAAGTTGCTCTTTAAAGTATCTAAAATCTGATGTGATAGCTTTTGAAAATTGGTTAATGTTCCACAAGTGCGTGGGCTTGGGACAGAAACTTTGCCTACTGGAGGAAAATGCCCAAGATGCTTGATTATAGAGTTTCCAAGATTTTGTTTTAAGCAATAAAATGTGAGAGATAATAACTATGCTCCGTGATCTATTAATAAAACACTAAATTTAATCTTTGACAACTTCAACTATAGAAAGAAAAATTGAGATACCTGTTGCCGCATTTAGCGGTGGCTTGGGCTTGAAAAAAAGAAAATTAATTTCAGATCTTCCAGATTTCTTTGCTTTCTATCAAATGCAATGCATATATATATCTTATAACTGTAAGTGGCATTGCAATTTGCATATGAAAATTGTTGACATATATAAGCTTCTCATATTTTTCCATATGCAACCCAAAAAGAGAAAGGCAGCGCAATGGGCAGCAACACCGTCAGGTTGTCATACAATGGAGGCCCTGGACAATCAATTCACAAATCTATGAACAACAAACAAAATCACAGGTTTTTTTTTATAGTTGATCCCATTCCCATCCCAACAGAAAGAAAAAAAAATGTAGAAAGTATGAAGGATATTGCCTCATTAACTTCAAAATCAGCTCCCATTACTCTCCATCAGCAGTTAACCATACGAGATGCTAAAGACTTGGGCACGGATTGTATCCATTACTCAACAGTAGGACATAATTTATTATTTCTAATATTGCTTAAAGTTTGCGTGTATATAAAAGCAAATTGTACATCAACAATTAAACAAGAAAGGCAGATGTAATGATAGAGGGGTTGTTTAATCACAATAATAATAATGTGATGCAAAAAAAGTCATGTGCATGCAAGATTTAAAAGTCAATCCTCAGGCCCTCCATGAACAAAGCGTGTAAAAGGCAACTTGGATACTATTGTTTTCCTTGACTTGTTCAATTTTTGGTATACCCAAATAAGCTGACCGGCGCCGACCACAGCTAGATAGAAGATATCATCCATTTCAAATATCAACACTAGATTGTCATGAATAATACTACAACTATATAATATTGTGCTTTTCTTTGCATTGCATCTAATAAGAAGACCAAATCAATTGCTTTTTGGTTTTGGTTTCAATCCATATCATCGCTAACTAGACAATATGATTTTTTTTTACGGGACGTCAATCATGAATATGTATTCCTCATTTTATGATTCAATATCACAAACACAAGATATTGGTTGAAATGTGTACCATTAAGAATATATTTACAAAACTAATTGATTATTAAATATATAAAAATAATTATTTAACTCTCTTGTAATTTTTTTTTTAAAATTATAAATCAATCGAATATTGATTATTACATTATAATCAAGTTATTAATTATAACTTAATTAGATAATTAAATTTATACATGATGAGATTCAGATTTAAGACCTAAAAATTTTAGATTTTTTTCTTTATCATTAAGCAAATATCTCATTAACATCTGGCTTGTAAAATTCTAAAACTCCTGACCATTTTAGGTATAAGAATAAAGACACTAAGTCATCTCGTGCAATCTATGAACCTGACCTGAACCATCTTATCTAATACTTTGGAACGAAGACCTTGGAAATCCATCCAGCCAGAGGATAAGACGAGGCTACTCTCAATAATTGCTTGAGCGACCTTAGAATCCAGTAGCAAAAAGAAGGAGATTCATTAGCTCTCTTTATTTGGACCAATTCAAGCCCAGTACATTTGTACTTTAATGGAAAAGGTTGTGTCCTTTTAGCTTTGATGCCATATTGGGCTTGAGTATTGTCCATGGAACATCCAGCACCTCATACAAACCCATTTAAGTGTAATAATCTATAAAATAACATTTGAATAAAATTGTAAAAATTTGATCAGTAATTTTTTTCTTTTTTTTTTTTTCTGCAAATGTAAAAATTGCATTTTAGCACCGGAGTAGATGCTATATAAACTTAAAAAAGTTATGCACAATGGTTTTTATTTTTTTATTGCTTTAACTAGCTTGAAAGTTTTTTCTATTTTTTTTTGTCCAAATACTAGTGTGAATGTTTGAATCTCTACCCTTACTCGAAAAATCAAATTTATGTTACATTGGCAGTTCTAAGTCTGTACAGAATCATCTTGAGGGTGGAGTGAGGTTGGAGACAAGAAAAATATTCCTACATGTGAACAACAGGAACAAAAACAATCCTGACTTTGTGAAGTATAAATGAAAATAAGAGGCTAAGATTAGATGACAAGGTCTTGAAACAGAACACAACTAGATATCATGGGATCAGTCCAAGGAACTAAACAAGTGAAGGAACATTCAATTTGGGTCAGAGCCAACAATAGAAGAAACTAATTTCCAAACTAGAACAAACGGAGTTCAGCTGGCAGATCGTATGGAAGCTTATAGCCTATATGCATACAGTAGTGCAGTGGTCTCTGTTCTTATGTTTGAATTAAAGATGATATTGATGATGAGATGAGAAAAAAGATAGACAAAACCAAAGTATTGGCCTTGCAGCTCAGCTGCAAGTCACAGTCTACAAGCCTCCATTATCGCCAAACTTCACTTTCAATGTATTAAAGTCCTAACAGCCATATCTTGGAAATCCAATTAAAAACCCAAAAAATGAATCCCAGATCCCAAGTTCATATCCATCTCCTGCTTGCAGAAATTCCCAGCATTTAAATTCGCCTACTTTGTTCGTCCATCTGGAACCAAAATCAGAATTGCTGGTTAAGGTTGACAAGTAAAATGTTGTGACTGAAATGTTCAGGGAGAGAAGGCACATTTACAACTTAGAAAATACTACTATACATTTTATTCTGCAAAAGAAAATAACCTTTACTTGACACGAAGGCTCGGGGAAAAGCTGTGCATGCAAGTTGGGGATTTTTTTTTTGGCAATATGGGCCAATAAAAGATTTGTATTGTAGCTCGATGTTTGGTTACAAGACAGAGAAAGAGAACATAGCTGTTGCATGTGAAAGGTCAATTATCAGGCCTAGGCCTAGCATCTCTTAGTCTAAATAGGACCTACAGGAAAAGATTCAATAGTAGTACTGTTATCGACGTATCTACCAAAAAAAACTGCCAAAGCCCATGAATGCGGTAGCTTGAGAATCCCAATGAGGCAATGAAATGGGAATTCTGATTCAAATTCCCATCCCCCAACTTTGCCCTAGAATTGGGTTCGAGCAGAGTGATACCTCGTCGGCATGGCTTTACTCCATATGGAGCATTAGTTGCTGTCATTAGCCCAAATGGGTAGCAGAGATTTGGGTTATTCCAGGCCCCAAAGCGCCTCACCATTTTCCCATAAAAATCTTCAGAGAAGTTAAGCACTCCTGTCAGATTGTTTCCATTTACATAAAGTGCATTAAGAGTAGGCAGAGATGCTAGCTTTGGTGGGAGATTGCCTGTAAGATTGTTGTTACCAAGACCCAGATACCTCAGTCTCTTCAAACCAGAAAGGGATCCAGGAATTTCACCTATCAAGCCTACATTAGAGAGATCCAAAATGACCAGATTTTGTAAACTTTGCCACTCTAGGCTCATAATATCTCCACCTAATGGGTTGCGAGATAATATCAACTCTTCCAAAGAGTGCATCTCTACAATTGACTGGGTTAATCCACCTGAAAATTTGTTGTTTCTCAAATCCAAAAGGGTCAAATTCTTCAAATAAGCTATATCTCCAAGCAGCTTCCCCTCCAAGTGATTGTTACTTAAATCAAGTTTCAAGAGTGAAGTCAGACAGCCAAGAGCAAAAGGCAAATGGCCAGAGAGTGAGTTTCTACTTAAATCCAAGATTAACAGCTTTTTCAACCTTCCAAAACTATCTGGGATTTGACCAGTAAACCTATTTCCAGCCAGGACTAGTCGATTCAAGTTAGTTAAGTTGCCAATGTTGGTTGGTAATTCTCCTGTTAGCCCATTTTCTAGTAAGACTAAAGATTGGAGCTTAAATAGGTAACCAAAGCTTGTTGGCAGTTGCCCAATGAGACCTTGGTGGGATCGAAACTCTAATAACTCCAAGCTGCCAGCAAGTTTTTCCCATTTATCGTCAGGGATGGTGACCGGATGTCTGCGAGGTGAGATGAAACAATTGAAAAAGGTGAGAGATTTTAGGTGCTTAAGCTGGAATAGCTGAGCCCTAAATTCCACTTTAGTGGCACAACCAAGAGAGTTGTCATGTACGGGACCAATGCTCAAAGCAGTTACATACCATTGGCCACCAACGATATCACAGGAGACCCCCTGCAGAAAAAATCAAAGCAAGATATTACCACTTAATCAAATCTGTCACATAGTATACTAATTAGTTCTAACACTTTACTGAAAGAAAAGCGATATACAGTATAGTTTTTGGAATTTAGAGAAAGAGAATTTGGAACTCCTTTTTGTCTTTAAAAAAGAGACCCGTAACCATGTATCAAATAGGCAATTATTGACCTTAGCCATTAGTTTATTGGAAAATAATTAATGTGAATCAAGGTTATTATGCATTTAAACAAGTAAACAACCAAAGCACGCTATATTTTTCATATATGCTAACATTAAACCTACTACTTTCTCTGAAATATCAATAAATGACAAGTAATTGACTGGAAAGTGTTTCTTCGGTTTGACTCTGACTAGTGACGAGATGCTGTTTAGTTTCTTTTGATTAGTGCACGATGCAATACAGAGGCTGTTTTGTACAACCAACCAACAGCCTAGTGGCATGCAGCTGGAGTTTAATTTCCAGCTGTCTCGATTGCTCATGGGTTGATATAATGACAGCACTTGATAACACACCATGTCCTGGGAGATTCTTCAATAAGAATGGAGAAACAACCCCTGTACTAGATTTAAACTGTAAAGCCTAAAATAATCTTTCGGTTCACACATAAAAAAGGAAGGGGAAAGGTTAAATTACTACTAGTATAGTATACTGTTATACCAAAAATGCAGTGTATAAATGCCTATACATACGATACATAAATGTTGCTCAATGAAAAACTTTAAGTACAAAGTGCATACATTACAAACTTCATCATCTCAAGCACAATGAAAAAGAGGTAATGTGTAATTGGGCATCTATGAATGAAACAGTAAATTCCACCAAGGAAGGTTAAAACTTTATAAAAGGAAAACTATACCTGTATAGGGGTCCAACCACAAGGATCTGGATAGAGATCTGAGCCATTCCACCAATCACCTACAAATCCTTGTATGGCAGAGTAAAGAGCGGCTTGCTCAGCTTTCTCCATGGGGGCTGCATCAGTACTGTCTGCTTGGGCACAGCACCACACACCCAAACACAAAATGCAAACTCCCAAAATGAAATGACTGCCACGGAGAAGCATCCTCATGACTGGATATTGTTAAAAACACAATACTTTTCAACCTCGGGAAGAGAAAGCAAGTATAGCTCGGCTTAAACGACCCTAAACGAGTTGGTCTTCGAAAAAGAAGCAAGAAATAAATATATATATATTATAAGTTAAAAAGAAGAGCACAAGGCTAGGCTTTTCAAAGTGAAGGAGTTTTCAGTGTCAAAATAAAGGCAAAGAAGAGAGACAGAAGAAGAAGAAGAAGGGATAAAAAGGGAGTCCAAGCAATCAACATAGATTTAGAGGTCCTAAGGAATATCAATATGAGACCCTTTTGAAAGCCACTCTCATGCGTGTTTGAGAAAGCTTAGAATAGTATCGAGACTTGAGAGTGAAAGATACAAAAAGATGGCTAATTGAAAAAGAAGGGAAAGGAAAATGAAGAGAGCAGTGAAGAAAAAAAGTAAGGAAGTTGAGCAACTTGCATCCGTGTGTAGAAGGAAAGCTAAAGTAAGTAATATAGAAGAAAAGAACAGAGAGATCTAAGCACAGTTCTCAAAGCCAATAAAGCAATGGAAGTAATAACAAAATTAAAGCAGTAGAAACTGAGGGGCCTTTGAGTACAAAAAACGAAGGGGGAGAGCTAGCCTTTTTATCTATATATACGGCTCTACAGTCTACTTTGCCATGCACTTTGCAGTTTGCAGGCAGCGCCTTGTGATTCTTTCCGCAGACTCCATTTGGGTTATAGTATTAGTAGTAATAAATGATAATTGTTAATTTTTCATTCAATGTATTTGGCAGAGAGTTGGTTGGGGAAGAGAGGGCTGGTGGTTAAGGTTGTAGGATTGGTTGGGGGAGGGGACCATTCTCTGTCCGCTCAAACAAGAGAAATGGAGGATCATGTAGATGCATGCAAGACAAAGTTGAGCTAGCTGACGGGTTTTTCAAACACTACTACTGCTCAGACTCATAGAGACGTAATACTTATGCAGGTACAAAAGAGCATTGAAATGTGGTAAAAAAGTGGGGATTCTTTTCTTTTCTGCCTACACTGCAAGTATGGAGTTCTACTAGTTCTGTTGAGCATGCCACCATGACCACCTAATATAAAATAATTGTTAGAAAGGCTTTAATTAGAAACGAGAGCCACAAATTTTGAAGGAGCAAACTGGTGTACTTTAAGTTCTAAGTTTCACATAAATGCTTTACTTGGTAAATTATAAAATGAAAGATTAATTAGGGGGTCACTTGATATCGTTGTCAGTTCTATGTTTTATATTTTTAAAATTTTTATTTTTGTTTTGTTTTAAAATTTTAAAAACAAAAAACATGTTTGGTTAAATTATTTTGTTAGATTTCAAAAACCAAAACATAAAATATGTTTGCTAAGTCTGATAAATTAAAATATAATAATTATTTTTTATTTTATAATTTAATAATGTGAAACATTTGATATAATATATTAAAATTACATATTATAAATATATAACACTTCAAAAAAATTTGATATATTAAAATTTTTATTTAAAATGATAAACTGATAATTCAAATATAAATAAAGCATTATAAAAATGGAATTAAGAATTCAAAACTAATTAAAATTTAAATTTATATAATTTAATTAATTATAGGTTTTCAAATCTAATACTTTTTATATATTATAAATAAAATAAAATACAAATAAATAACAATTAAAAAAAATGCTGAACGAGCAACCAAATAAGGATCATACCCATATACAACAAAATCCCTAAAGAACAATGCTTTAAAAAAAAAAAAAAAAAAACTTGCTTGACTTAAAAAAATGGATTGTAAAAGAAAATTAAAGTTTGGTCTGGTGGCTTTCTCAACTCCTCTGTCCTCCTTTCTTTTCTTCCCTTATTCTTTCACGGTGGCTCTCTCAACTCTTCACCAGCCAATTTATTTCTTAAAACCACTTGTTTTCCAATAATGATAGGATGATCAGTAACAAAGAGTTTGAATAAGAGATTTGAGATTTTGAAAATGTAGATTGAGACCGGATCTAAAAGGGGGTGAAGAAGAATATGCAACAATCGCATTGTAGCAAGAAAAATTGTACAAATTTCTTTAACAAAAGAAAAGGAAAAAAAAAATCTGAAAATAAAAGAAATTTGTCGAGATTCGAATGCAAAACCTCGTTAAAATGTACTATTCATCCATGTTTTTGGCCAAACTTTTTTTGAAAGTATTTTAGAAATTGTAGGAAACACCAAATTGTTGATTCCTATAATTTCCAAAACATTTGAAAATATTATTGCTAGTTTTACAAAATTGAAAATAGAATCACTCCTCCGAACATGTTTTCTGTTTTATTTTGTAAAATTTTCAAAATAAAAACATAAAACTGAAAACAAAGACATTAGCAAATGTAACCTAAAAGATTCATTCTTTTTCACTATTCACTCTCCTAAACTTCATTTTAAAAAGTAAACATAAATTACATAGAAATAAAAAAAAAATTAATTTTTAATACAGCACCTCTGCTCTGTCTCATTTAACGCCCCTCTTTACCTGCTCACACTCGCAGCCTATTTCTCTCCTTTAATTTGAAATGACTCTCATGTATCTGCAATTTCTGAAATCATCTTTTGGAGAAATAATGATTTGGGTTCTCTGAACCTGATTTATTATTATTATTATTATATGTCAATAATCATTAAAGACAAATAATAGCAGCCCTTACCCTGCCCACTAAGCCCAACATTCTCGAGCCTCTGCATCATCAACTCCTACGAAAACACTACACTTCGCCTCCATTCGTCACAGACTTAAAGGCATACATGTAATTACAGCTGTATATAACCTGACTAATAATAATAAGATTCCAAGAGAGAATTAAACGACCTTAGTTTGGGCCTTCACAATTGCGTTTCTTTCCCAATCTTTTTTTTTTTAAGCCACAAGTACGACAAACAAACCAAACAGGCATGACAGGGAAAGAGACGCTCTACTCCATGCACAAACTCTTTTTTAATGATATAATTTTCAGTAAATGGGAAGAAGGCATATGTAGGATCTCCGGTAATTTCATTACATGTAATGATAAAAACGACGCAAAACTATGGCACCTAATACTTGAAAGTGGAAACATGATAATGAATCTAGTATACAAACAAAATGGCCTAGAAATTGTTGTAACCACTTGCATATCACCTTCCTAGGGAATCGTCCACAGGAAATACTCCTATATAAACTATAGGAAAAGATTAAGATACAATGCAAAGCTCTGAAGCCGAAGCTAAAGCTTCCTAGTTACACACACTCGTTATGTCAAGTCTTGCATTAAGCATATGAGTGAGTCACCTACGGTCTCAGAAGAAAGTGTAAGAAAATTGGGGGAAGCCTTCATGAGGTAAAGAACGTCCAGATTCTCTTTCCTATTGAGACTTCACCCTGATGTTCTATCTCATCATCAAACTCATCCTCATCCTCATCGATTGTACTCCCACTCTGATCTTCATCACCATTTTCACATGTACCATTTACTTTTTCCTGCAAATCCACAATCCCAACTGACTTTGCTGCATTGTAGTTGTCATCAACATCCACACTTGTTTTCAACTGCATGACAACAAGGGTCGGGGAGGAGTCAGAAAAACATGATGAAAATCATAACATAGCATCTCAATACAAATGGATTAGAGAGGATTTTACCCTAACCGGGTTGCTTTCTAATATCTCCACATTCTTCAATGCTGTGACCTGCTTTAAATTAGGTTTTCTGTTCTCAGTATCCAAAGCGCCTCCTGCCACACCACCACCATCAGGTTCCTTCCTAGTCTTCACGACATCAGACGAGGCTTGTGCCGCTATGGCTGTAACTGTACTGAAAAAATATTAAAATCACGACTTCAGACCTGCTTTATTTGGCATGTACTTTAATCTTCACAATAATTATTGTCCTTGAATCACAATCACACAAACACAAAAATGAGCTCACCTTCAAATTTGTGCTTACATTGTCATTAAAAAACAATAATAAACATATTTGGCTACACCTTTTATCAAAAATTAAAAAACAAAACAGTGTTTTTAAAAATATTGCAAAGAAAAATTTTCTCCTTTTTTTATCTTTTTCTTAATCCAATATTCCCACTTCTAATGCTATTCATATGCAGCTAAAATCTAAATAGTGTAGATCCCTAAACTTATAATTGTTTTATTTGAATCCCAAACCTTTTTTTTTTCTTTTGAATTAGAATCCCAAACCTTTTAAATCATTACAATGTAATCCCATCATTGGATGGTTCTTTTAAGAGGATAGAAAGTGCTGATGAATCAATTTGTTATTACTTATCTACGGTATATGCTATAGTTTATTGTTCTATAATATCTTACAATTTTTTTATTTCTTTTTTTTTTCCTCCAAAATGCAAGAATAATGCTTACCAAATCATTTAACAGCTAATGCATTTGTTCAGACTACCTTGCCTTCCACATAGATATACATTTTAAAGTTCAAGAAACAAGAGTGGCAGTTGCAGCATCTGATCTGCAGAAGACCCTTAAAGACTAATAAACCCTCAACATTAACAGCCAGTTCAATTAGAGGCTCAGCACAAGCAAGTTCAATACAAAGGCAGAGTTAGCAACTTAAAAAAAAAATCAAAATAAGATTCATTTTAAAGAACATTCTGCAAACAAGAAGTCAAATCCCTTCCCTTTCAATCAATTAAGCGGGATAACATACTTGTATCTAGTCAAAGCAGCACAGCACATTAAAAGCAACATTGTAGAACATATAAAATGTCTAAATTAGAAGTCATTAAGAAAATTACATATATCATAAAACAGAACTTACGTCTTGGGTCGCCTGAGATTGTATCGTTTTTCTCCTGGGGTTTGCAGGCCTAGAGCCACTGTCTGTTGCCTCTTCCTTCGCCGACCAGCTGTGACACTATCAGAATGTCCTTCACTCTCTGCAGCATCCAACTCACTGTCAGTAACTTTGGAATTTTGAGGGCGTTGCCGTTTTCTTGAATTATTTCGTGCCTCCTTGTCAGTATGACTAGAAACACCCACACTTTCTTCATTGACATGGCTGATTTCATGTGGCTGCACACTCTCACTGGGTTCAGGTTCTTCAGGGCTTTCAACAAGTAATAGTTTTGCATCTTCTACTACAGCCTTCACCGAGCATGTCCGATTCAGTCCAGTTTTAGGTTTTCTTCCAGGTTTGCGGCGACCACTCTTCTGCTCTGACTGCTGAGAATCTTCAGGAACTTCTTGCACCTTACTGTCGACATAGCTATGATCAATGGATGGACCAGATCCATCGTCCACCTCTCTAATTGTATTAGATTGGAGCAATTGCTTATGGATAGGGTCACCTGAAATCCTTAAAGATGGCTCTCCTGCCTCTTCATGAATATTTATACCTGCTTCCTTAGTGGTAAGCGCATCGGGCCCTTTAGCTTGACTGTCATTTCTCTTAGTTGGTGAAATGCTAAAAATCTTCGTAGCACATTTGCGAAGCCAGGAAATGCTCCTGGCAGATTCTGGAAATTGCGCATCAGCTTCAGGAGATCTCTTGATATTTTTAACACCGGAACCATCTAAATGACCTAGATGATTCCTTATGACTTCATCACCTATTTGTGGAAGAGGAAGGATTTCCCTATCCTCCGCATGAGGAAGTTGGAAGTTAGAGAGTACAACGTCCCTCGTTACTTCTCCGCAGTAATTACAAGACTTGAGCTTCTCAACAAATTCAAGGAAGCTACGTCTTTCGCGAATAAACTGTTCCCGCTGGTCCTTGAGCCTGGTGCTAAGCAGACCAAGTTCATCAATGTCCTTTCGCATATCTAACTGCTGCTCTTTCAGCTTATCCCTGTTAATTGCAACTTCTTGTTTTTCCCTTTCTACAGCACGCTTCACAGACCTTATTTCTTCCATTTCCCTCTCAGCAACTTCTTTTGAGCATCTCATATTAGCAAGTTCTCTCTCCTTCACCTCCTCAAATGCAACAATCCTTTCTTGCAGATCTTTCTGCATTTGATCCAACCTATTCTGCATATCAGTTTCAAGATTCATTTTCTGCAGTTCAAAATCTTGAAGCATTTTAATCTGCTCATTCTGAGCTTCTTGCAATAAAACTGACTTCTCATGCTTCATTGTATCTTCAAAAGATTCTTTCTGCAGCCTTATTGATTCCATCTCCCTACCAATATAATCTTGCATAGCAGATTCCTCTTTCTTCAACCTTTCTTCCTCTGAATATAGCAACTTTTCAAACTTTTCCTTTTCTTCAACAATTTCCTTTTGTTGCATAATGATTTCAGCTCTCTTTTCATCCAAAGCTTCCCACTCTTTCTCAAAATTTTCCCTTTGCTGTTTCAGATCCTCATGTTCCTTCAAAAGCAACTCCTCCTGATGTCTGCAGTTGTCTATCTGCTGCTTCAATTCTGACTGTAAACGGATGTGTTCAGACCTCACCTCTTCAGTTATTTTAAGTTTTTCAGACTCTTCACGAATCCGTAACTCTTGCTGACTAGTTTGAGCCCCTATCTTATCAATCTCATCTTTGAGAATCTGTAAGCTCTCCTTAGCAGAACACAGTTGTTGCTTTTCCAATTCCAACTTTTTCTCCTCAATTTTCAGAAACTTCTCTTTGTCCTTGACTGTTTTCAACCTCACCTCAAGGTCCTTTTCTTTCTCCTTCACTCTCTCCGACTTCTTATCCAGTGCTTGTTCTTGCTTTCTCAACTTTTCTTCCTTGTGGTTAATTTCAGCTTCTTGCTGGTTCACTTCATGTACCTTGCTTTCTAGTTCCTTGTCAACAGATTTCCTCTTTTCTTCTAGTTCCAATTCAAACTCTTGCATTTTAGCATCCAGAATAACCCTTTGCTCATCAACAAGTTTCTGAATCTCCACCTATAAAGACCCCAGGATTAAAAAATTTTGAGGCTAATAAATAAAGATTATTAAATCACAAACAGTTGATTCTCACAGAAACAGAAAGAAAGAGATTATTTTCACCCAATTCACAAGGAGCATACAATCAATAAGGATAAAGCACTAAAAACAAAAATACATACAACCATGTGCATGCATACAATAAGACTGATATATTCCACATTGTATCAGTCTATAAGGGAAAAAAGAAAAAGAAGACACAAGCATCTACTCCTTTAGAAAACTTAGCAATTCTGTAAAACTCCATTCCTTGCATCAAAAAAATAGGAACAATGCAACTTGCACCCTAACAAAGTGCATGTGATAGCAATATGCAATCATTTGTCAAATTTACGGTGCCTACTTTCAGTTCCTCACATTTATCAGAAACAAAATTTACCTACAATCATTATGAAAACTTTCAACCTCAACAGAGGTGTCAAGTAAGTGTTAGCATCATTATCATTACCATCATGTCCTAATGTTCTCATGAATGCAAATAGGATACTGCAATCTAGCCAATGTGTCACCAAGTTCCTCACAATCCAATAACATGCCAATTCTCTCAGATTGTGCTCCTTAAAAACAGAAAGTCTTCAACCAGAAAAACATTTGGCCCATTTGACCAAACAATTTATATGTGCCTTAATAAATGATAGATGTATGCGATGTGTTTCCTGACGCATGTAAAAGTATAAAACACAACATGATGCCAGGAAATATGGTAAAACATCACCATCGTCGACGCAAAACAAGAATAAGAAGAGATGCCAAAAAAAAGAATATTAAGACTCATTTAATCCAGGACGTATAACATTTTTTGCATTATTTACAAGGCAAGCAGAAATAGCATGTATTGTAACTCACCCTTTCTCTAGCAGCAAGCATTTCTCCTAATGCAACTAGATCCTCCTCTTTTGCCTCTAGGGTACTTCTCATGGCGTCAGCTTCCTAAAATACTTAACAAAATGCAATAATTACGAAGGAAATCACGATAAGCTAATGCATTAAATTAAGCATGAAACCCACCTTCTCCTTTGAAACCAAGTCTGCAAAACGTTCGCTTAGATCATCTTCCATCTCCTTTAACTTCAATGTGGATAAATCGATATTATTTTGCAGCCCTTCAAGGCTACTCTCCTTCTTCTTGAGAAGCCTTTCATTCTCATTTGCCTGTTCCTCCCTCTGGTTGAGTATTCTCCTAAGCTCAGTCAGCCTCGCTTCTCCTTTGTTTAGTCTCTTTTCCCACTCATTTAAGTCTTCCCTCTGTTTGTTAAAAGTTGCCTGATGTGCTTCTCGTCTAAAAGCAGTGGAACAAACGCATAACAATAGCATTATGTCAAGAGAAGTGAACATAATCCAAGCAAGTTCAAGTAAAAACAAGCATTACAACATATGGTAGAAAGTTGATTAAGGGAAATACTCTGTAACTAAGGAAAGGCGCTCTCTTTGAAGCACACTTTCATGGACCACCATCTCTTGCAGTTTGCTTTCCAATTCTGAACTTTTTCTATTTACCTCTGCAAGCTTATTATCAGCATCACGAAGCTTTTCTTCCAAATCAAAGGATTTTCCTTCAATTCCAGCAACCAATGCATTCGCATTAGCCAACTTTGTGTCAGAACTAAGCTTGACCTGGGCATGTTCTTCTTGAATATCATGCAATGCCTTTTCAAGCTGCAACAAGAGATATGGCCATAATCAATATCAATGAGTTAGAAAGACAAAAGGTTTGATTGGAAAATAAATAAATGAACATTAAGGACACTACTGAACATAGACATTATTGGAAATTCAAGAAAAAAAAAGAAAAAAAGAAACAGCATACATCAGCCACACACTGCTTCTCAGCACCTAAGGCTTTTGCTAAGTTCTCCTCTCGCTTTTCAACTTCCGATAAGGCAATCAAGTGTGCAGACTGCTCACGTCTGAGGATCTCCTCCACTTCAGCAAGTTCTTGCTTTAATTCTTCACACTTTGATCCCCATTCTTTTTTCTCAATGAGGAGAAGCCCCATATTATACTGGTAGTTAAAAAGCTGCACAAAAATAGAGACATAAGACAATGAAAAAGTATTTAGCATATTTGATATTTGCAGCTTCAATCAGGAACTCAACATAATGTCACAACATCTAAAAAAATGAAGTTCAACCATACAAAGTCATCTGTATAAGCAATCTTAAGATGATGGACATTCAAAGATCATGCACAACTAATAGAGTAAAGAACAGAAAGGATTCACTCTTCACCAGTATTAAAATGAACCATCACCGATTTGAATCACTCAAGAGGTCAGCCTAGTGAAATTCAACAACAAAAAGATTCTTGTTTCACCAGTACTGCAATGAAGCATCATGACCTGATTCACATGTTCAAATCACTAAAGGGGGCAGTCTAGTGCATTAGACTCTGACATTGCATAAGTCTGAAAAAGTTAAAACATATGTGCAGCCTTAAACCTTGCTTTGCAGATATAATGATTCCACAATGTGAACATATGACCTCCAGGGTCACAATGAAGCAACCTATATGTCGCACCAAGGCTTACCAAATCAAACCAATAGATGATTTAACCTTTCATATGTTGGGTAAAAAAGGAAACAATAAATTCACACAAAATTAAAATAGTTAGGCACCTAATAAATGACCACTTGAGGGGTGATCAAATGCACTAAAATTCCTTCTACCTCCTACTGCAATAGCTAGCTCAGAGCAGCAAATGATGGCAAAGTGCACATGACCAAATAAGAGCAGACACTGAAGGCCAATACAAAAAAACCCAGCACAAAGTCAGTGTTGCACCGAACTCGATGCATTTGATCGATTTAAAAGCCAAAAGGCCAGACATAATTTGCCAAAGAATTCTCCCAACCAAATTTTAATTTAAACCAAATATATTCATAATACAAAGGTGAATTAAAATTTTAATCATGATTTTTTTGCCCCAGATCTTGAGTTTATTTGAACCAAAGTTAAACATCTTAAATTTGAACCAAAGTTCCAGTAAGACATTTAAACTAAAAACAAAAGCGTTAAAAAGGAAGGGTAGAAAGAACTCACCTCCCCTTCAAGCTTGGAGAGCCTTTCTAGAAGGGCCTCATGGTCCCTCCTTTCCAAGGCCGCTTCGTCTAACAAACCAGCTTCCTGGAGCCGCCTCCAGTCCTCCATGTCCTCCTCTTCCAACCCCAAATTCAGCGGCCTCTTGCCGCTAAGGGAAACAACAGGCGGCGGTGGCAGTTTCCTACGATCATCCACAAAGGCAACGGCTTTTCCCTTCCCGTCAATGCCTCCAGTCCTAGTGTTTGAAACCGCCGCTGGCTCAGTGGGAGGCTTTAGCGGCAGTCGAGGCCACGCCTTCCTTTGCGGCGTGAACATATCACCAAGGACGATAAAAGAAACCAACGATATTCAAAAGAAAAGGCTCAACTTAGAAACCCTAGAGAACTTCCAATCGCACGCAATTCTTTTTCACTTATAAAAAATAATCGATAATGTCTGTATTGTATTCGTATGAATATCTTCCGGTTATTTCCTGAGAGATCGGAGGTTTTTCCTTTATGGTTGCTTTTCAAGCGAAAAGGAAACTAACAAGTCGCTGTCTTTTGGCCTCTGCCTCCGACTAACTACGGCTTTGTAAGTTCTAACCATCCAAGCCTTTTTCTGATTTGAGCAAGGGAGCATGGGTGTTTGTGTCATTTACCCACGGAACGGAGCTCCGCAGGGTGGGGCTTCTAAATGACCAAATTCTCTCCATTTCAGGCCCAATTCTCATGCTGTGGTTTTGGGCTTTTTTGGGTTTTTCTCAATTAACGTTAATGATCGTCGGTTTGTCATGTCACTTAAATATAGACTTGTTTTTATTAATATTTAAAGAAATATAATAAAAATAGTAGGCAACATGCTGTGTTATTTCACTCTGTTCTATACATTTTTTTTGTCGTCGATAGTGTTCTTTTATGGATCTAATCTAACGAGGATGCTTTCAGTTTCATTAAGATGCGCTTGTTTTGCCACTAAGCATAACTTTTGGTTGATTTGTTGTATGTATTTTGGGGGAATTGTATATGAAAAGCGAAAGTATTGGAAGGAAACTGCTATTCACCATGGATTGGATGGCTCATTGAGGTTAGTATTCCCATTAGTATTTTTCCATCGATTACTTTCAACTTCACTGATCAGCTCCAATAAGTGGGTGATGCATTGAACAGCAACATTCATAAGTGGGCATACATGTGAATGATTATCTTCTTGCATGAGGATATTAGCTTGCCTGGTGTTGAAAAGATTTTAAAATCACCACAAATCTTCCTTTTCCTTTTTCAAAATTTGGATGAATATATGACAATAATTTGAACTTTCCATACATAAGAAATAGAAACAGAAGCTATTAATTATCTATATTTTTATTTATGCTATAATAATAATAACAAAAAAGTTGTGAAATCCCAAGAGTAGGTTTTATTATATTTCTTTATATTTTAAAGAAACATCACATAGGATAGAGATTTCTTATTTAAAATGGTGTTTGTGCTCAGCTGTAATGAGGATGGACAGAGAGCTATGTTAAGAAAAGGGTAGTGGTACTCTACTTGCAAGTGGCAACAAGGACTCTTCTGGGGGGCTTAGCAGGTCTCCGTCCGTGGAGCAAAGCCAAGTTGTCAAAGATGAGAACATCACCCTTCTCCCACTTGAATTGAATGCTTTCTTCCTCAATGATCTCTCCACATCTCTTAACGACTTTTTCCGGTATCTCTGTTCCATCTGCCATGACGGCTGAGCTAATCTCTCTTCCATGCATACCAACGACGGTGTTAAACCACATTCTCCTCCCCTTTCTTCCTTCAAACACCCTTGTTAGAGGTCGAGGTCCCAGTTTAGTCGTCACCCCACCATTAGGTAGCCACTCCATGTCCATTCCCAGTGCTTTGGCTCTGTAACAATTATTCATTGATTAGGCTCACTCTCTTTCTCAGGAAGAATATATATGTGTATACATATGTGAAAGCTTCAGTTTCACTAGTAAATAGCTAGTGAATAACTTGTAAAGGTTGAAGCAAACCGTCTCTCAGCCTCTTCACGGTCCGATGTTCCAAAAGCATCTTCCCAGCCTCTACCCCTCATTGATGATGTATCATTCTTGCTGAGGGCTGTGAATGTGTAGTTTAACCCCTTGGCATCCATTTCCTCCACAGCTTCTGGGAACTCCTCTAGCATCCGCTCTGTTACTCGAAAGCTAGGAACAAAGGGTGTCTCTCCACCTTCCGGTGGTGGCACCTCGCAGAATAGTAGTAATTGCTTTGGACATTCCTTTATCTGGTAAATACATTGCAAGATCTAGTTAAATACCAATTTCATAGCTGGCTACTAATGTGTCAAAATATGTCCATTTTTTTTTGGCCAACAATATGTTCAGTTTAAGATATGTCTACAATCATTGCATCATCAAGCTGTCAGCCATATACAAAGATTAACTAATTAAAGACTGAAGTAGGATCAAATTTCATGTTTGATTCAGACAGAATGTTGTTCTATTCCGTTTCATATGAAATGACCATATTAATAGGCTTCCAAATAAGAAATAGCTGAACTAAGTATTTGAGTTGGGCAATTTGGCTTCTACTTGGTAAGAGAGAAGAGTAAATTCTTGATGGAGTTGGGTTTTTAGTTACCAGAGAAGTTATAAAGACAAGACATACCAGAACCATTTCATGGTGGTAATATATGAACTCAGAGAGAGGTCCTTCATTAGCCGTCCAAACACGTTTATACACATGCGTCCGTGGTGCTGGTCCGACATAGCGAATATCATCCCAACCGAAGGCTTCCACGATGTCATTGAATGCTTGTGCATTCTTGACATCGAAACCTCGTAGGAGGACAGCACTGTTTTTGATGATCATTTGCTCGAACCAATCCTTGTTTGTCTTTAAAGCCAACAAAAGTGATTCCATATCAGCCTTGTCAGTCTCTGGGGGTTGCAGAACCAGTGGCATTGTTTCACCATCCACCACCTTTTGGCCTTGGCATTTTCCTACCTTGAAGTCCTTGCAAGAAAATTCCATATCTTAATTTCTTTGCCGCTTAATTTGTATTTTGTAGTTCTGATGCAGAGGTTTTCAGTGAAATTGGGGGTCTTAAATAGTAGTGGTAGGATTAAAGTATTCATCGCCATTGCCATTGCTGCTTTTGATTCTTGTTTGTCGTGTTGTGGGCAGCTCAGTTGCATATATATTTTTATACTACGGATTCAAGGTAAGATCGAGAAGAAGAGAAAGTAAAGAATGAATGAGATCATTCTCAAGTGAAAGTTCATTTGTATTATTGTCAATGCCTTCCAAGTCCCTAGTTGGGTTAGCGCCTGATGATATAACAGCTAAAAACAAGAAATGGCATAAAATGTTGTCAAAGTTTGTCTGGGCCTGCCCACATAGACATAGTTTGAGCATGTTGAGGCTTAAACCTTGTTTTTCTAGCAATCATCAACACTTTGCCATTTAGCCTGATCAAAAAAAGAAAGTTGGTATATATCCATTTTCTTGAAGTTTCCACTCATCAATCCATTTAGATAAACAACAAACTAGAACAGCCAAATACAGGAAGAAAGTTTCTAGGTTGCCGTCCCACCCCACAAAACATAATGCATGTTTACAAATAACAATACTCAGGCTTGATTTGGATCTCACTGAACCATCAATGAGGTGAGATTTAATTATTTTTCTATTTAAACATATCATTTTGTTGACGTGATTATTGTCAGTGAGTAACTGAAACTTTTAGCTGAAGTGAAATTTATCTAATCTCACTGCAATTTTTTTTCAATTTTACCCTTATGATTCTTTTTTTTTTTTTGCCTTATGATAATAAGTTCTATTTTTTTGTTTTTACATTTTGAATTTTTATTTCAAAATATTCAAATAACTAGTTTTTTACCCATGTCATGCACAAAATTTTTTATTATATTTTTTATAATTTAAAAGTTGAATTTATACTAATTTTTATATTATATATAAATAATATTATTTATAATTATCAGTAATTTATAGTCAAAATTTACAAAAATTGTCTATAAATAAATTATTCCTAAATAATTCAAATAAGTAGTGTGCAAGTTTTGAAAATTTTAATTTCAATAAAATTTTTTTGAATTATAAATGTAAAATTACATATAAGATTCAATAAAAAATCAATCTCTTATTCACAATTATATATATATATATATTATTAAAAATATATATTATTTTAGAGTGAAAACTAAGATTTACACATGTGACATATTATTTATAGGTTAAAAACCTTAAATTTGTTTTTCTTTAAAAATTTTTAGGTAGTAAATTTATAAATTTTAATTCAAAATTTCAATGAAAATAAAAAGAAATTTAGCCTAATTATTTACCATCCAATTAATGTAGGTAAAGATTATTATTTATATGATTTTGAATTCAAAATTTTTTATAAAAATAAAATAAATTCACATTATTCATAATTAAATTACATGTCAACATTAATACTATTCAAACTTCAAAATTACCAAAAGAAAAGTGGTGTATGAATTGTAATTACATGCTTGTATATTAAATTATTACATGATAAATATTTATTTTTCTTTTTTTCTAAGAAGACACTTACTATTTTGTATTACGATTGTACGTCTAAATCAAAATTTATGATTTTAACTATTAGATAAAATTATGAATAATTTGATCAAAATATAATTTTAAATTGAGATAAAATATCTTTCTTTTTTATTTTATATCATAAGAAAATAAAGATAAAAAAATAGATAAACAACAGTGATTCAACCACAAACTTTATTAATTTAAATTTATGTGAACATTGATTTAGATAAATGTATGATTTTTTTATGATTCCTTAGATTTAAGAATTTAACATTTAAAAATTTTTTGAATTTTGTATTTCATATTTATAGGTAAGAGTGACTTATGAAATATGTTTTTTAGATTTAAACAGGATAAAACTTATATATTTTAAAAGAGTTGTATAAATGTAAATTTAAAAATTTAAAAATTTTTAAAAATGGAATAATTTATTGAATAAAATTATTTAAAATTATCTTACGTATTAATAATATATGTTATTTACCTAAACATCTACGTAAATAAATATTATAATTTTATGTAAGTTGTAATATAATATTATATATGATTTTATTGTTTTAATATAATAAAAATAAATTAATATTTGGCCAAAAGATAAATTAATTAATAAATATTATAAATTAAATAACATTAAAATATACATATAAAAATAATTTATCAACACTTTTAAAGTTTTTAATAATCAATTTTTATTTTCACTTCATCACACCGTTATTTTTTAATCCAAACATATATTAAACTATTATTTTTAATATCATTATTATAATAATTAAAAGAGCAGTTATATTGGCTAAAAAAAAAAAAAAAAAAAAAAGGCATTTGGAGATAATTATGAATGGTCAGCAGCTTTTTAGTTATCCCTGATGAATTGCCCACAACTTCAAACATACGTAAAACAACTATGACTCATCCTTTTATCACAAAGGTTGAGCACGGCTTGAATTCATCCAATCACCTGCGAGCTAATTGGTTTTTTTTTTTTTTTGCCATTAAAATTTGAATAAAAATAATTATATATATTAACATATATTCACACTATCTGTCTCTATCTTAATTATTTTGTTTTGTTTTTTTTCCTAAAAAGAAAAAAAATATTTTGAAGGGGAAAAGGAAACATATATCTCGTATTGTCGAAGTTAGATTAACTACTCTCTTCGTCTTATGACTTGTAACATATTGACGCATCAAAATCCTTCAATTAATTAATTCAATTGGAACCGAAAGAATCAACTGCGCCCATAGATTATCGCGTTTCTTATAGTATTCACGTTTATATGACAGGTGCAATAATGAAGACGACTTGAAGAAGCTAACTATAAGATCACTTCTTTATCGTTGCGAGGACTCCCCAAATTGTAATATACTTTTATATATATATATATATATATCAATAATTAATCGATTCAATTAATTAAAATTTATTTTTTTAATAAAAAAATTTTGAATCCAAATTTTATCAATAATTACTTATTAAAATTATTTTAAACGTACGATCTTCAGTCACTTACTTGTTGAAATTATCTTAATACATTATTTATAATCATTTATCTTAAACTATTAATTATGATATATCTTATCATATCTTAAATTAATGAACAATCTATTTATCAACGAATTATTCTTACCAAAAATAGATATATATATATATCTATCTTACCATTAATTTTATCAAAACCCTCCGCGTTGGATTGGAATAAATCAACCGACAGTATTTTTAATTATTCCTTGGGTTTAATTTAGTAGTCATATTTATATCATACTAATTATAATTAGTTTGAATGATTAAAAAAAATCATCTAACAAAAATTTAATAATTATTCAAATTCATAAATTTTTATTGTAATCAATTAAGAATTCAAATATTTATTTTTATTAATTGAGATTTTATTGGATGAATTGATTAATCATCAACATATATTTCTATCAAATCAAATATTCAATTAAAATAAAAATAAAAATTTAAAAATTTAATCAAACGAAATAAATGTTTGATAAGTAAAAAGTTTAGATTTAATTAATATTAATAAAACATAAAAAATTTAAATAATTATTAAATTTTTATTCGAAAATTTTTTAATGCTGTTGTCATGTAATTAAATGAAGTATATTATAGCTTTAGACTTTCTTTTTTGGGATAGCATAATAGTTCTACCACTCCATCTTTCTCTCTCTCTCTCTCTCTCCCTTTTTTTTTTAATAAAGCTTTCCAATCTCACGTGGTGATGATAAACAATACAAGTAGGGAGTAGTACTAATTGAATGGTCCATTGCATTATTAATTAAATTCATGATTTAGCACTGCCCCACTATGGGGCCATAGTCCTTTTTTTTGTTCATTGGGTTCATGGTCTTTAATCCTCCCAAATTCCCAAAAGTTAAATTTAACCAAGTGCCTTTCTTTCTGCCTAATCAACATGTAATTTACCGACCTATCACACAATATAGTGAATAACCTGACAAATTTCATTGTTCTAGTTAAAATACAGGGAACAAATGGACACTTTCCTTTACTCTTTGCTCCCCTGGTAGATCTAAGAGTTCTGTCGGTAGCTCTGCTTTCGCCACTTCACTCAGCTGTACTGTCTGAAACTGAAAAAAAAGTAACCGAAGCTGCATGTCGCCCATGGCCGCAATTTCTCCTTCTTTGGTTCCACTTCTCTTCTTTGCTAGAATATTAGGCCTCGTAGTTGCAGCTTTGGTCCTCTCTTGGGCTATACATTTCAAGTCTAGCTTCCTTCCCCACTCTTCTTTTTCCTCCCAAGAAGACACCATCTATGCAGTGAGTTTTTTATAGCCATTCTTTAATTAGTTTGCTTTTGTTTCTTCAGAGTTCGAAGTTATAATCTGTGTTGACAGGTCCTTCATCCTTTGCTGATGGTGATCGGCTTCATTCTCATAAGTGGAGAAGGTAGTAGATTTTGCTTTGTTGAAACAACATTTTCCGAGAAAATGGGGGTTGATTAATTAGGTGGTGATTTTATTTTCTTCCGTTTTCAGCTATTTTGATACACAGATGGTTGCCTGGTTCAAGGAATTTGAAGAAATCTGTGCACTTGTGCCTTCAAGGGGTGGCTTTAGGTTCTGGGTTTTTTGGGATTTGGACAAAGTTCCAGGGAAAAGATGGCATTGTGGCTAACTTTTATAGCCTGCATTCTTGGATGGGTTTGATCTGTGTCTGCTTGTTTGGAGCTCAGGTTCTATTCTTCAATCCCTCGTATGTTTATTTTGTTGAATTACTATTAGTCTTCAAAGAAGCCCCCTCAACTTTTCTTTACAACTCATATGATAAATTAATTTTCTTTACTCGTAAACTAATGCCAAACTGACTTATCATCACAATCAGTAAGTTTTTTAACATCGGCAATGGCGTGGTTCTCAGGTGACATAAAAATAGTCACAATGATACCATTATTGCCATCTACCCCATTGTGTTGTTTTTTGGCCCCATTTATAAGATTCCAGCGTCAATAACAAGTTTAAAAAACGTATTTTAGCCCTTTTGTTATCATTATTATTTTGTTTTGCTGAAATAATGTATTCTAGCGTTACATATGAGCCCCATCGTCTTTCCCTGTTTTAACAATTTGATGAAACATCCCAGCATCAATCATCAAAATGATTAAGCAATACATTTGGATGTTAGTGAAGGTGGCAGGCTGGCAGCAACCAACATGCAGTCATGTATTGTCACGCCACTACAATCGGGCCTGGCGCAACTGTAATGGACTTACTAATTGTTGCATAACTCAGTCCTAGATTTAGCTCACAGGCCTCAGGTGGAACCCCTAATGCACCTTGCATGTTAACTGTGATGAATTCTCATACTCTCAAATGGTCAAAATAATCATTACATTCAGAGCAAGATAACGAATTTGGGTTGCTGGTGATATATATGTAGTCCATTACGGAGCAACATAAGGATTTAATGGTGCGCTTCTGTATTTCAATGCAGTGGTTGGTGGGTTTTCTAAGCTTTTGGCACCGGAGTGAGGTGCGGACGACAAGAGCAGAGGTCTTGCCATGGCATATCTTCCTTGGTCTCTACACCTATGGCTTAGCAGTGGTCACAGCAGAAACCGGGCTGTTAGAGAAACTGACATTCTTGCAAAGCAGAAGGAATGTATCGAAGCACTGTCCAGAGTCAATGATTGTTAATAGTCTCGGTCTGGGGCTGGTTCTCCTCTGTGGCATTGTCATATTGACTGCTGCTTCGCCTAAATATCATGCTGTTCAAAGCAAACTTATGTATTCGTCACATACAAAGTGGTTGTCTTCTTGAGAGAGACTAAAAAGGGAAATTAATTAGTTATTCCTCTAGTATTGTGTATATAATGTAAGAAGATGATTCTGCAGAAAGGGGAGGAATGAAACGTTTTCAGAAATGAAAAAGGCCATTTGCATGGATCTTTGGTATTAAAACCAGGCTTTGACTAGTAATTTTTTTTATGGTAATAAAAATAACCAAAGAAACTTATAAAAAAAAGAAAACAGTAATTTATTATTAGTAGCAGTAGTAGTAAGTTTTTAGTTAATGGTTATATTTTTTGTGGAAAAATAAAGGAAAACCATGGCACATGAAAAAGAAACAAGTACTGTTAAGTTTAAGTGACAAGTTGGCCAGCGAGGGTAAAACGTAAACCCCAAAGCTCAGCTCGTCCAAATTCCAATGCTTGCTTCATCATCTCTATTTTCAATCCAGTCCCCCAATTTTATTAATCGAAGAAGGATGGTCTGATCCGCCGCATCTCCATCGTCTCTCTTCATCTCACCTGAAATCCCCTCCTTTTTGCCGCGCCGTAGCAGCAGCCTCTCCTTCACTTCTCCTACTACATTTCTCTGTTATCCCAGATCCTCCAACTCCCGGATTCTGCGTCCCTTGGCTTCTCTCCTTCACTCAAACGTCAATCTTTCCTGGTTTCCTCCCGACCCCAATTGTCTACCCAACAATTATGGGGGTTGGGCCGTTGTTCAAGCCCCTCCAACTCCTAACACAAACAAAAAAGGTTTCTACTTTCTTTTTTTTTTTTTTAGCGATTGAATTGAGCTCTGGCTGCTGCACAGGATTGTTTAGCATTTTTTTTGGGTCTTCAGTTGCTGTTGCAATTGCTGCCGTTGCATACTTTTCATTCTACAGAAAGGGTACGTTTGTTTTTTCAATGAACACAATGGTACAATTTAAATCATGTTTAATGCGTTTCTTTTGAGATTTTTGCAGGGTTTAAGTTTCAGTTTAGCAGTCCCTTGAATGCTTTACATGGGGTCTTTACCTGGAGCTAGACAAAAAGTGATCAAACCAAAGCTAGGCGCTATCCTGAATATGATGAAAAGGCTGCTGAGGCAATACCGACTGTGTGTCTCCTGCAATTACTGAAACTGTTCCTTCAGGTGCAGTCAATTGTAAATTTTTTAATTTTAGGTTGGCTTTTTCTTGGAGAGAATCAAGCTAAATTAATCAAATCAAAGTTTCTAACTTTTAACTTCATTATTGCCATATTTTGGAGCAACAGTAGAATGTTAATCTATTGATGCATTTTCCAAGTTCTTTAGAAATTTTAATCTTCTTCCTTGACACTTTCAGCATCTACACATAAGCGTGAACGCATTGTGTTACCGATTGCTATGGATTCTACTCAACAGGAAGCTTTATTGGTTCTAAAGAAGCTGAAGGTTTTTTTTTGAAGCTTCTTTTTATGTAAATCATCTCACCATCTTTTCAAATGAACTGCATATGATTGTATCGAGTAATTAAGGCTTGCAGATAATCGAAGATGATGTAAGAGTTGATGAATTATGCACAAGAAGAGAATATGCTAGATGGCTTGTTCGTATGGTTTCTTTATTAGAAAGGTAGTCTTGTACTTGTCTTTTGGGAATAGTTTGAACTTGAAAATTTGAAATTATAAGCATGTTTTTTGCATGATCTGATCTGACTTGGCAACTTATTTGTCTGCTAGGAACCCTAAGCATAGGATTGTTCCATCCATTGCACTTTCTGGGTCAGAAACTGCAGCATATGATGATGTTGGTGCTGATTACCCAGATTTTGAGTCCATTCAAGGTAAAGCTCAATTGGACAGTTCCATGTAATTTCAGGCTTGTATCTTTTTTAAAGATGACAATTAAGAGCTTTTCTCCTTGGAACTTTTGATTTAGCTTTGGCAGAGGCAAGCGTTGTTCCCAGCAAACTTTCAGGAAGGATTACTGGTTCTGATAGTTCAAAAGGCCAAGAAGGAATCAACTTTTCTCCTGACCGGTAAGGCTGTGCAGTCATTCATGAATTTCATCAATTCTTTAAAAGTACTTTTTGACTTGGTGAAATGTATCTGGTGTTCTAGATTTATTTCTCGGCAGGATCCTATAAACTGGAAAGCCCTGGTAGATTATAACTTTGAGCCAGGAGTAATAGAGCAGGTACAACAAATCTCCCCTGCCATCTGCTTTAGGAACTATTAGACTGATGCTTCACCAGTCGTTTCATGGCTCTTAAAACCTGACTTGTTTACAGTCCAGATATCAAGGACAAAGATAGATTATATGGATTTGAAGGAGATCATCCAGATTCATCACCCGGACGTTTTGTAGACATGTTGGCTGAGGAAAAGAGCATACTTAGAAAAGTTTTTGGTACAATTCTTGTCTTGATTTGTTACTAACATAACTATGCACTATCCTCTTCCCCTTTCTTCTCCCCCGCTGCTTTATTTCCCTTCCTTTCAAATAAGTATTTAATACATAAATAGCAGGAGTATTCTTGACTAGTACCATTTCTACAATAAAGCACTCAGAACTGACTACCATGTCAATATATTAGAAGATCAAATTTAGGAAACCAAGAGTTGTTTTGGCCAAGAAAGTGCAAAGAGCAAATGCTGAACTAACACATAGATAAGAATGATTAGAATGTGCAGAGTTGTTCTTGCGATACTGTCACTAATGTAAATAAGATAATATGCTAAGTTGCACATTTTTTTTTATCAATTGAAAAAAAACCTTTGTGCTATTCTTCTTTCTAAGATGGTAAATCAAGCACTGCAATCACATGTATTTCTAAATTTTGTAGGACAAAGCAAGCGCTTTCAATCAAATAAACCTTCATCAAAAGCACAAGAGGCAGTGGCTTCAACGAGTGGCAGGATGGCAGAAGCAATTTCTAATGAGTTGTTGAAGCTAGAAATGGAGAGTTCTTCAAGGAGAGCGAGATGAAAGAGATCAAGTCTAAGTTGCTTGAAAAGGGAGACATACAGAGGTTTTGGGGTGAAAAGCTGGATGAAGAAAGAACCTGAGGTTTTGAGGTTGAGAAGCTTTATTTTTCTGTAGTGCAGGACCTGGAACAGGAGAAGATTATTCAGGAGAAATGGGTTGCTGAGCCTTTGAAGGAAAAGGCAGCAATGCACTGCCAGAGGCAACTTCTTTCTAGTCTGAAAGAAGAGGTTGCTGAGATGTCAGAAAGGCTTGCATTAGAGAGGACCATATATGTTGCTGAGCAGAGTAAGTTGCAAGATGTACTCAGTGGTTTGCAGTCGAAGCAAAAAGGAATACTTAATGCAAAATCCATATTGGAAGCTGAGATTGAAGCTCTTTGTATTCTCAGGTAGATGCTGAAATTGCTTACCACCCTTCACTCCATGCCATACCATATTTATTGTTACTGCTTGTGTAGCAAAAGCTGGTTAGCTCTGACTCACTAGGCTTATCCTATATAATGTAATATTCGTTCTTGGAAGGACTCCTTGGGTCCTGACTAATCTCACTAAGTTGGCATGGTTCTAATTAATAAAAGCAATGAACGCAGATCTTGGGTAGAGGATGAAGCAAGAAAAAACCAAGCCCGAGCTAAGGTTCTTGAGGAGGTGGGACGAAGGTGGAAATGGGTTGACCAAGCTTGATTGTCAGTCAGCTGAAATAGAGTTGGCGCTGACAGCTTCAAAATGTTAATGTCGGAAGACAAAATTAGAAATCCCATGACATTCACATGGAGAGCAATATGAGAAATCTGAATTATTTTGTTGAGCATGCTCAGGATGGATTATATCTACTCACTTTTGCATGTTCTTACCTATATTGGCATACTTTTGAAGAAATAAAGGGGGTGAAAGAATTTGAGAAATGACCTCTTTCATGTGTGTACACATTTCCTTTTTGATTTAATTTTGTTCAGCGAAAGAACTCTTAGCCAATGCAAAATCTAGTTGGAGAAAGAAAGTGTAGGATTCCTCGGTTTGGTCAGATTGTCGGTAATAAGAGCACATTACCAGCAATTGATTTTAATTGAGGTTTGGCTACGCTAATGAGATAGCCATTGCAAATTGCAATGGAGTGTCACAATTTATGGCAATATGGATGCCACAGAGTTCGGTAATGCAAGGGTGCTTGACCTCAGCAATTGGTGAAAAGGTTCCAGCTTCATTACATAATACAAACAAAGCCTCAGCTTAGCTTTACTGCAAAATTTTCTTAAATTGGGACCCGATACTTGAACCGTATTAAGTATGGATAATCTGTCATAATTATTATATTAGTTTAATATATAACAAACATATATTTAAAAAGCCATTTCAATGATTATAATATGAAATTTATTTTGAAATTCTGAATTGGAATATATATTGAGATTTAAGATAGCTTAATGAGATTTACTGTGTCTTCTGAAAAAAAAAAATCGACAAAAACAAAAATGCCTCAGTAGTTGGCATTAAGTGGGAGAGTGTTCAAAAAGTTATTCCCGCCCGACCATTGGGCAACTTAGGAACTTTCCCTTCTCCATTGGACCCCTTCTGTTCTGTTTGTCTCTAACGCTAAGCTATGTAATGTTCATTGTTGGCTGCAGTTGCAGTACCAGGTACGTGTGCTCTCTACTTGTGTTGGACTTTCAGTTTCCACTTTGTCTTTTCGGTTACTATTTACATCAATATTCTTCAACCACTTTTTTGCTGTTAATCTTGCCTAAAAAAAAAAAAACAAGGCCAAGAAATTTCAATCCACAAAAGTTGAGGCCGATAAAAATCGACAAATAAATCATGCGAGAGCTATGAACCACCGGCTGTATTGGATAACATATTGTCTGCTACAGCCGACTTGACCCCACTCAATTTATGACCATGAAAATCACTTTCCTGCTTTGTTTTTTGGTTTATTTTTCCTTCTTAGTTTTTGTTCCCCTGGAAATATGGCCTTGATTGGCTAACATCAAAACTTCCTCAGCCAGAAAAAGGAATTTTCAGAGTTTGATGAACCCATTACCATCTATCAAGTTGTCTGCTGATTTACTTCCCATTGTCACCATCTTAATGGA